GGGGTGGGTGGGACCGGGGCCTCGCGGCAGCCAGTCATGCCCCGTGCTGGCCCGTCGTCCCCGTCCCCTCGCCGTCCTGCCCCTGTCCGCCCGTCCGGCTCAAACGTGCCCTGCCCGCTTTCCGTAGCTTGCGGAAGCGTGTCGCCGATTTGAGAGTCAAATGTCCCCCGCGGGCCCGCGCCGCCACGGCACTAGACTGTACCCGTCGCCTGCCTCCTCTACCTCCTCCTCTTCCTTTTCCTCCCCCTTCGTCCTTCTCTTCCCCTTCCTCCCCCTCCCCTTCCTCCTCCGCCTTACCGGCGGAAGACTCCTCCCCGCCCCTCCCCCTCCACGGCGTCGTCGCACCGGAAGCAGTGCGAAGTCCAAACGCCAAGTTGCACCGGCGTTGGCGTAGTGGGACGTTGGGGGGGGGGGGGGGGTCGAAAGGGTTAAGCGCAGCGCGAGGCGATAGGCGTGTCCCCGCGGCCACGTAGGCAGGCGAGGCTGTGTTGTGTGAGGCTCTGGCCGTCCTAGCCTCTGGGATCAGGACCAGAGGGGGTCGAGCCCGGGACAGGCAGGTGACGCACGGGACGGGACACTCAGTGTCGTATCGCAAAGTATTTCAAGTGGCGAATGACATCAATCGCGAGGTGGCGCGGCCGGGCGGGACGGGACGGGTCGGGCGGACAACGATCTTGCTTAGGCCACCGGGATATTGAGCACGCTCGCCACTTTTGCTGTCGCTGCAGGGGCCGGCCCCCGCCCCGCCCGCCGCACTACGCCGCGCCACACCGCGCGGCCCGTCGCGGTAGGCGAGCCGCGCTATGTGCGCGCGCACAAACGCGTCCGAGCCGCGTCCCGAACCAGAGCGCCACACCGTCGTGTCTCTATCGCCCGCGACCTGCACCGCCGAGGCCCCCCCATGGTGCCCCCCGCCGTCGGAGACCCGAGGAGATGCTGGCCCCTGCGCATCCCGGCGTGGTACCCCCTCAGTCCAGGTACATACACACCCTACGCAGCAAGGTGTCGTGGAGGCGTATCAGGTGGATAATTGACGCTACTTCACAAGCCTACCTCCATATTGACTGCAGCAGACGCGGTCCGTCTCTGACGGAGGGGGCGATTTGCTGTGGGTTGCCTACTTTCAGGGATTTTGTAGGATAAATTGCCTACCTAGGGGCGATCGCTCCTTCGCCCCCCCCCCCCCATAAACCGCGCCTGATTTTCTGCCTTTTTGTAGTTATATTGTACCGTACGCAGGCGTGTGGGCGGGTTGGCCTACTCGCTCGATGCCGTAATGAGTCCGAGATACGATGACCATCGCGGATAGGCCCGCCGCCGGTCCGCATGCGATGCAGTGCGACTCAACTACAAAATGTTCTGGATCCCGTGTACGTTGGGCCACCCTTGAACTGCAGCGCGAATCCTAAAGGCGTGCGGTCGGATTTCCCCCTGCCCTCAGCTAAGGCGCCGGGCGGGTAGGCCGCTCGCCCGCACGCGTGCACGCGATGCAGTATCATGACGGAGGTGGACGGCGCCAATCACCCACCCACCCCCACCTCTGTGTAACGCATTCAAATCCTCGACTGTGACCACGTGCCTTGCTCCCCCCCCCCCTCCTACCTTCGTCTGTCGTGCTCGTATTGTTTATGTGTTTATGCGTTTGAGGTTTTCCTGGTTTATGTGTTTATGCGTTTCAAGCCTGGTCGCGCCGAGCGTGCCAATCATATCGCAAGTCGTGAGGGTCGGGCAGACGACAGGTGGGCGATGTGACCCTCCCCCCCACTCCCGCCCCCAAATCCCCCCCGGGGCGCCCGTGAGGACTTCTGCACGACCGGTAGTGCTCACGAAGTACTCGCGTCCTTTTCGGTAGCACCTTCCCTTCCGCCCGGCCGCCTTGTCCATTCCCCGGCCGTGTCCTCAGCGGCCCTGACGACCCCTCCCTCCTTATACCCGATCGTACTCCCGTTTTGGGATGATGACCCGGGGTGACCTTTACCTTTGGCACGCAGGTTATGATCATTGGCATTGGGTATATCTCTTTTGGTTTCTACTTTATTCGCAGTTCGCATTACCTATCACAGCAACTTCTTAGCCCTCCCCCCTCACATTTCTTTTCTAAATCTGTGACCTTTGTTGTGACGTGCTTGTAACACCGTTCCTCCCCTCCGTTGCAGAGACCGCCCCTCCGCCCGCGATGAAGCTGCTGCCCATCTCGCTGCCCCAGTCCGGGCCCGCCGGCCCCATGGAGCGGCTGCCGCTGTCGCTGCCGTTCGGCGCGAGCGAGCTGCTGTGGCGCTACCCGGGGCTCTCCTTCTCGGTGCAGCAGGGCGGCCAGGCGCCCGCACCCTCGCCGGCGCCCCCGGCGTTCGACTTCAAGAACCAGCTGCCCACGGCCCTCGGTGAGTCTTGCCTCTTGCGCGTGTATTGAACTTACGTCTGCCGAACCCGTGCCTGACGCTCTGCTTTTGTCCCTTCGCAGCCACGGACCCGCGCATTTGGAGCCGGGAGGACGTGTGCACGTTCCTGCGCTGGTGTGAGCGTGAGTTCGACCTGCCCAACTTCGACATGGACATGTTCCAGATGAACGGTGAGTAAGCTAGTCTGTAGTGCCCCGCTGCCGCGCCCCGCAGCACCGGACTGCTGTGTAAGCCCGAGGGCACTGAGCGCCTTGCGCGGGGTGCCCGGCATGGTAAACCAACCCTGTCGCCGTTGCCCCCGCGGACCGCCGAACCCTTGCCGCCGTCCCTCCTGGACCCACGCCTGCTCTCTTCACCTTGCTCATGCGACTCTCTCTTTCCTGCAGGCAAGGCGCTCTGCCTCCTCACCAAGACGGACCTCGGCGAGCGCTGCCCCGGCGCGGGCGACGTGCTTCACAACGTGCTCCAGATGCTCGTCCGCGACGCCCAGTTCCTGGCGCGCTGCCTGCCCAGCTCGCCCGTCACCCCCACGTCGCGCCACTTCCCGCACGGCCACCCCGGCGTGCACCCCGTCCAGCACCCCCTGTCCCCCGCGCACACACACCCACCGCCCACGCCGAACTGGAGCCTTCTGGTTCGCGGCCCGGGAGGTGAGTTGTCGCTGGGGCACGGACCGCATGCGGACCGCGGCGCAGACCGCGGTGGTGGAGGTGGAGGAGGAGGGGGCGGCCCGCCACCCTTCGGGTCTGGCCCCGGCCTGAGCCCTGGCCTGTCCCACCTCATGGGCTCCATGGGGGTGGGCCACATGGGCCACAGCAACTCGGTGACCCTGAGCCCCGCGCCCTCCCTGGACAGTCAGTCAGGCTCGCCACAGCACCCCCTGGAGCACGGCAACAACGTGTCTTCATTCCCACTGCTCAGTAAGTATAGCCATCAAGACGAACCTGTCAGTCGAGTCCAACCCAACGGCGCCGTGCTCCTCTGCGACAGGGCAGCCCTCCGGCCAGGCTCCGGCCAGGCCGCCCCGCGTGTCCCTAAGGGAGGGTGACTGCGGGCTCTCCAAACGGGTACCGTGTACAATTGACGGGTTTGCGTCTTCCCACTTTGCTCCTCCCCCCTGCTCCCGACGCCGACGCCTTTCTGGTTCGGCCAGGTTTACCTGAGGGCGACATTCACGTCCTCGGGATGTTCGGCTCTTCGGTCTTCCCCGCATGACGCTTGTTAACCCCCACCCCTATGGACAGGCGCAACTGTCCTTCCCCTCCCCACCTGCCCTGCCGTGCCCTGCCCGCTCACTGGGCTAGGCAGCACTTGTGAATATGCTCATGCATTACCTCGGCTTGCTGCGCCTCTTCCCTCTCACTGCCCTGCCCACCACCTCCACTTGTTGCATGCTGTAAAGCCTGGACTCGGTTCACCGTGGTGACAGACTCGCTGTACATACCTTACGCATCACGCAGGGCGCGTACTCACGGCCGACTACTAACCCCAACTCCTTTTCTTCCTCGCCACAGCGGGCTTCGGTGGCTCCAATGGCAGCTCGGGCAGCACCCAGTCGCAGTCCGATTCTGAGGAGGACAGCTACCCCGATGGTGCCAACGGTGTGGTGGCCAACGGACAGAACGGCAACGGGTCAACGGGCTCCACGGGGTCGACGGGGTCGACTGGCAGCGGGTCTAGTCCGCCCAGCACGCCGTCGTACCTTGTCACGTCCGCCCCCACCCACATGCCCCACACACCGCACACCCCTGCGTCACCGCGCTCCCCGGCCGTGAAGGAGCCGGCCACCCCCACCAGTCAGACGCCTTCATCCGTACCCACCACGCCGGGCTTCAGACCCGGCGGCGGGGCCCGAGAGTTCTTCCCGGACACACCCGAGCCCAACACAAGTGAGTAGTCTTGTCAACATTCTGTTGTAAATGACAAATTTGAAGAAGCGACTTACCGTTGTGGTTGTGTTACAGACGGGCGTCTCCTGTGGGACTTCCTTCAGCAGCTACTAAACGATGCAAGTCAGCGGTACACAAGCTATATTGCCTGGAAGAACCGCGAGACGGGCGTGTTCAAGATTGTGGACCCTGCTGGTCTTGCTAAGTTGTGGGGCATTCAAAAGAATCACCTTTCCATGAACTATGACAAAATGTCGAGAGCCCTCCGATATTACTACAGAGTAAATATTCTACGCAAAGTTCAAGGAGAGCGACACTGTTACCAGTAAGTAAACTTTATGTCATCATTATTATTTTTTCTACAACTAATCAAAATCTAATTCTTAACTTTATGTAATTTTTATCTAATCCTGATTTTATTTTTTCTTTGCACCTACAGATTTTTGCGGAATCCCACTGAGCTGAAAAACATTAAAAACATATCCCTCCTCCGGCAACAGATGAGTCCAACTCGTCCTGCTCCTCAGGCGAGCTATAACAGCAGTAGTACAAATGCTAATAGTAATGCACTACACTCCACTGGGCCTCCATCACCTGTTGCGATGATCAAAGTCGAACCAGACTTGGACATTGATGACACAGAAGAACCTGAGGATATGCCTACAGACCTCAGCATGATGTCGTCACAAAGCCAACGCAGGCAACAAGATCAGCAGGCGGCTGCCACCGACCTTAGCAGCCATTCAAGTGAAAGAGGTCACTTTATTGCTCCAGAAGTGAGCATGTCCACAAAGTATGTAAGAGATGTGGATTCCTCATCAGAGAATCAGAACACTTCATATCCTCTGTCCTACAGCAACCGTCAAAATGAAACATCTGATAGTGTTGCGTTTCCCTTAACACTTATACGTCAAAGTGAACCAGTGGAAAGTGAAGAAAGTAAATAAAAACTTTGGCGTATATTCTGGCCAATTTTAATCTATGTAACTTTACTATGAATGAGTGTTTTACTTGGGAAGTATCAAGTAACTTTCCAAGTTGTTGAGTGAGAGGTGCAAGTTATCAGAAATTCAATGTGAACTGGAAGAAAGCTTCATATGTTAATATGAATTATTGTATATGAAATTATTGACGTTACTGTAGACTTGCTGTTAAGAGCTGTTGAACTGTGATTAAATAAAGTTTTATGCTAGGAAATCAGTATGTCTCTGTGCTCAAAGAAAAGATATGTAAGAATTTTATCTTAACAAGGCTTCATTTGTGGGACAAGATTTACTGTTTATCTTAACTTCATGGATCTTGCATAGCTGTGAATTAATTGTTGAATTTATTTTTAAAACGCTGGTTTTACCCGGCAGTTGTAATCCTTTGCATTTACAGAGGACATTAGCAATAGTTTTTGGGACCTATTTACTCTTGTTTGATGCTTGCTGGCCTGAGAAAAGGATTTTTACTTTATGAAAATAGATTTTGAATCTGTTTTTATTTGATGTTTCATACTGTGTGCAAAGTATGCCCAACAATCTACTTGTTCAAGTACAAAGTATTTTTAAAATCTGGGTGTTAAGTTTTACCAATTTTGTATATGTTTAATGGAATGCAGCATAAAGATCTAACCGAGTTATAGAGTAC